AACTGGCGTCTGCTCCAGCCCAAGTCGCCCTCCGACCCCACCCACGACGCCCCGAGCCCAAGATGCGCCAGCGGAGCTCCAGCGAGCAGGACGGTACTCGCTACAGCAGCCGCCGCACACGCCTAACCGCACACACGCACACGCGTGCGCACGCGCATAGTTTAACTCTGAATGGTGTGATGTGGGCGTGTGCGCACACGCACGCACACACGCAGATGGCGATCTGCTGGAATCGCCGTCGCGCGGGGAGACGCCCGAGATCTTCTCGCCTCCCTCTGGCGGGTCGCCGCACACCGGCACCTACCGCTCCAAGAGCATCCTGTCGCGCGCCGTGGCCAACGCCGAGCTGGCCTCCGGCACCGAGAACGGACTGAACGAAAGGTACGCGTGTGTGCGGTCGTGCGTGTGTGCAACGACTCACGCACGGGGGGGGGGCGCATTAATAGGGCGCTGAAGGTCATCGACCGCGTGTCGGCCAAGCTGAGGGGCAAGGACTTCAGCAAGGAGCAGAGCCTGGACGTGCCCCAGCAGGTGCAGCGGCTCATTGACCAGGCCACCTCCCACGAAAACCTCTGCCAATGCTGGACCGGCTGGTGCCCCTTCTGGTAGAGAGAGATAACCGCGCAGCCCACAAAAACCATATCATGGACCAAGCCCTGCTGATGCACCACCCTGCGCTCTCCGGTGGTGTGGTGAGATGATCTTTGGATGATGTAAATTGATTCTTCTACAGACCATTTATTTTTATATTTTATATTATTTTGTGTTTTATGTTGTGTTTTATGTTGTTTTGTAGGCTGTGATGGGGCGCTGGTGTAGTGGGAGCATGTAGGCCTTCTAAGCCTGAGGTGCGGGTTCGATCCCTGCGCGCCCCATTCACCCCTTTTCGCCTCCTCACAAGCAGACGGTCAGCCGGAGTGAGTCTTGTTAGTGGGGAGAGGAGGGGGGGTGAGGGGTGAGGGCCTGCTCCCCGTGTGCGCTCTGATGATGGCGCGGGCTACAACGCCCTCATCCACAGGTGCGGCACCGTGCGCTCGCTGGCAAAGTTGATCCGCCGGCCCACAAGCTTGGCTGGCGGTGTGCGACAGTGCTGGCATGGCCATCAAATTTGCATGTGTCTCGCCCGAGGTCTCGACGCAGCGGCCCCGCCACACGACCACGCGCGCTCTCCGCTCCCGACATGACGGTTTGTTCTTCTCCCTCGACGGACACGATTCCCGCAGGGTGCACCCGGCAGGTCGCGCAAGGCCCGTTCCAGGCGTGGAGTCCTCCAAGACGACCGGCGGGCACGGGGCCGAAGGCCTCGACGCCGTCTGGAGGCCGCGCGCAAACGACGAGAAGAAGTCTCCCGGCGGGCCTGCCGATGGGGACTCGATCGAGACGTCCGTACCGACGTCCACCAGGCCGGGGGGTCTTGACGTTGACGGCGACGAGCGAGGCTGATGACGGGCTTGCTTCTGTTTATTCTTCTTGCTCGACGCACCGCGATGCCGACGCGCGAGGGGGACGCAACGGCCAGTCCCGCGCGCGCGCGGAGAGAGAAGACACAGACCACACCGACCCGCCTGGAGCGGGGCAGACGTCACGCGAGCCGGTCGACTGGCAGCACCACGCGTTGGCCGATGGTTGGTTGGTAGGTTGGCATGGGAGCCGGCGTCGAACGCGGCCAATGGCGGAGAGTAGGAGAGAAGAGGGGGAAGAGTGTCTTCCCCGGGCGGGAAGCGGGGGTGGGAGTGGCTCGGCGGCAAGGTTGGTGCGATCACGGGCGGGACCGCCTGTCGTCGCGGTCGCGGTCGCGCTCCCTGTCCCTCCGCGTACCACGGGGCTCGTCGGCGGCGTCGCGCACGGGGGAGTGGGGCACGGGCGACGAGGGCACGGCCAACAGCTCCTCCACGGGGCTGATCGGCCCTTCGCTGGGCTGCTGCTGCTTCTGCTGCCCGTTGTCACTGTTGCTGCTGCTGCTGCTGCTGCCCATGCGGCGGTGCTTCTGCTGCTGCTGCTCCTCTTCCCTGGTGTGCCGGCTGCTGCCGCGCACCGGTGGCGACGGCGACCGCTCCTTGCGCTTGAGCCCTCTCTCCCGCTCGCGCTCCCGTTCGCGCTCGGCCGTGCGGCTGCTCGGGAGGGGAGGCCTGTCGGGGGCGGCGACTCGCCGCGTTGCGCCATTCGCGCTGCCCTCGCGCCTGCGCAGCTCCTCCAGCTCACGCTGCCGGCGGTCCCTCTCCCTGGCCCTCTCGCGTTCGCGCTCCCTCTCACGCTCCACCTCGCGTCGTCGCCGTTCGCGCTCCCTCTCCTCCGCCTCGCGCTCTCGCACTCTCTCTCGCTCCCTCGGCCTCGCCGGTTCCGCCGCTCTGGTGTCCCGATCCCCCCTCGTCGCCAGCTCTCGGCCGCTGCCGTCGCGCTGAGGCCTCTCGCGTTCGCGCGACCGCCTGTCGGCCGGCCGGCGGCGAGCGTCGCTCTCCTCCTTCATCGCCTTCTTCGCGCGGCTGCTGTCGTTGTTGTTGTTGTCCGACGCTCTTCGCCAGTGCCGGTCCTCCTTCTCGCGCTGCTCGGCATCGCTGCCGTCGGTGTCCTCGAACGCCCGCCGGAAGTCGCGCTCGCCGTCCTCGTCGTCGTCGTCGACGTGCGCCAACGGGTCGACCGTCGTCGCGGTGGTCGTCCGGTCACGAGCGGGCTCGGGCGAGTCGGCGGGCTGCGGGCGAGCGTCGGAGCTGGTGGCTTCGATCATCTCGCCCTCCTCCCGCTCCTCGTGGCGGTCGTCCTTGGGGGCACGTCGGGGCTCGGGGCTTCGTCGGTGTCGGGCCGGCGACGGGCTGCGGCGGTCCCTTGGCCTGGCCCGGTCGGCGCCCCGTTCGCGAGAGCGCGAACGCGAGCGGGTGCGCCGCCTGTGCCTGCGTGAAGCGGAAGAGTGAGCTGTTGCGGGCGGGTTGCTGGAGGGGTGGAGAGGTGGAGCACGAACCGCGCCTCTTGCTTGAGGACGAGGCAGTCTCTGGCGCGATGGCCCTCACGCTTACAACGATAGCATAAGATGCTGTGGCCGTTCTCATCTCCCTTTGAATTTGTTTAAGGAGAGATTGAGGAAAGATGGAAGTGTGAGGCACCGCCAGAAAGCTGTGGATGGAAGGAAAAAGATTGGGACATACCCCGCGGGGTGGCGATGCGTCCTGATTACGGCCTCGCTCGACTTTCAATGCACGACCAAAGAATGGAAATTTGTCGAGTGCCTTGCGCGCCTTATCGGCGTCCGCCGTGTGTGCGTAGTGAACGAACCCAAAGCCCTTCTTGAGGTCGAAGCTGGCAAGCGACCGAAGCCGGCGAACAGGCCGTACAGGTCCCTCTCCGTCGCGCTATCAGAAATGCAACTGATGAACAACCGCGACATC